ATTTTCTAATTATATATTCCAACTGTATTTTTTTTGAATTATTCTATAAACGAAACCTATGCTACCAGAGTAAAAAAAAAAACTAGAGCTTAGAATTTTGTGACTAGATTATTGGGAAATAGCCAATCCATCAAATTATAAATTATATAAAAATAAGTTTCTCAAACGATTGTCCTTAAGGCTGGTTCTATGAATTTGCCAGCATTACAAGGCCTATGTGTGTAGTTTTACACAAGCGAATTTGGTGTTTTGGACCAGAAAAATTGGTGTCACCAATTCCACATTCCATTGAGCGAATTCTGTGACTAAGCGCTAAAACAAGAGCAGCGGAACCCATGATCAAAATTCTGACCAATTTTGCGGATTCGGTGACCAAATGCTGTACACGGAATCTGCAACTGACGAATACGGATTTCTGCAAGGTCTGCAAGTGACTAAGCGCTAAAACAAGAGCAGCGGAACCCATGATCAAAATTCTGACCAATTTTGCGGATTCGGTGATCAAATGCTGTACACGGAATCTGCAACTGACGAATACGGATTTCTGCAAGGTCTGTTTTAGTGGTCTGCATATAGTACACTATGATAGGGGTTGTCAACTATGGATGACGATTTGGTATAAATCATCATGGCCACCATATATTATAAAACATCCAATAGTCCTCGTGTATTTTATGACACGCAACCAAAATTACCCATATAATGAGTATTGATCTGCAATGGTGCTTATGTAAAATTTTCAAAAAAAAAATTCAAGTTTTATCAACAAATTTTGCATGTTTTGATTTCATTTCTTTAAAAAAATTTATTATGAACAGATGATACCTAATGATCCCTATGTATAACTAAAGAACCCTATGTATAACTAATGATCTTTATATATAATAATAATAATAATAAATTGTTTCCAAACGATATCTAGTTACAAAGTTATTTATAAAAATTTATAAATACAAATAAGAATCGTTCGGGAGAACACCATTAAGCCAACAAGGCCCGTTTTCAGGTGTCTCATAAGTTTTGATTTCATTGTTTCCATGAGTTTTGATTTCATATAACTAATGATCACTACGTATAACTAATTGTCCCTATGTATAACTAATGATTTGTGTATAACTAAAGATCTACATGCGTAACTAACGATCCCTATGTATAGCTAAAGATCCCAATGTATACGTAAGGATCATTTTCTATAACTATTGATGCCTCTGTAAGATTCATGAATCCTATCTATACTGAACTTAATTTAGACCAAAAGTTTTCTTTGTGGAATTTTATTTCATAAAAACCCAACATAAAGCTTTTTAAATCATAGCCTCATGGAAAAATTCAAATGAACCGAGGAAGATATTTTATTGTGATTGATCTCAAGGCATATCTAATGATATCTTTTCATACTTAATGAACCCTGTATTTATCAATTAAACCCTTTGGACAGCTAATAATCCTTTCGTATACTAAAAGATCCTCAATGAAAACTTTTAACAAATGAGCCAAAAGTGAAGTTTTATCAATCAGTTGTTCTCAAGGTGAGAATGTATTCCAATTGATATCAAATTGAAACTGCTATGAAATTGATATCAAATATTTGTTTTTGTAAAGGCTATAGAACAAAAATTAGCTACTAAAATTGTAATTTACACATATTGCTTGGTATATAGTTTTTGCTGCATTAGTTTACAAGTATCAAGAACAAACCTCATTATAATTGCGGAAAGTTACCGTGAATTAAGCTGGAAAACTTTTTTGATGATTGAAAGTCAGCGTATAATTTTTTATAAGTTTTTCATTATGAATAGATGATGCCTAATGATCCCTATGTATAACTAAAGAACCCTATGTATAACTAATGATGTCTACATACAACTTATGATCTCTACGTATAACTAATTGTCCCTATGTATAACTAATGATTTGTGTATAATTAAAAACTAATGATTTGTGTATAATTAAAAAATCTCTATGTATACGTAATGATCATTTTCTATAAAAAATGCTCCCTCTGTAAGACTCTTGAATCCTACCTATACTAAAGTTTAATTAGACCAAAAGTTCTCTTTGCGGAATTTTATGGAATAAGAACCCAACATAAAGGTTATAGAAAAAATAGACTTTTGAAACTGTTAAATAAACATAATGCTTGGTATATAGTTTTCGCAGCATTTGTTTCTAAGCAAAATATTCAAGCCTTGAAGCTTTGAATTATTTCAAGATATTTTATGGACAAATCACTTAGTTAAAAAAAGCAATTTTTCAAGTTGTCTCCTTAGGAGTCACTCATTCGATGCAAATCAATTTTTGAAGACTTTTTGTGGACCCAATCAGTTTGCGAAAAAATTCAAGTTTATCTAAGCAATGAACTCAAGCTTTAAAAAGGTTCATTTTGTTTTTTTAGATCGTATTGCAAAAAATTAGAGTTCTATGCTATTCAATTTCAGATTGTTGCATAAAGACAATCAGATGGCAAAAAAATAGTTTTCTAGCAAACTGCTTAAGTTATGAAACTTCAAATTATTTCATGTTGTTTCATGAAGTTAATCGGATAACAAAAACAGTCACAATTTACTGAAGCAAGTTGCTGAGGCTATAAACAATTGAAATAATTCGAGTTGCTGAGACGCAAATTTTTTGCGTAATTTAAGTTTTTCTAAGCGAACTGATCGGCCGATGAAACTTCAAAATGAAATCAAATGATTTATAGCGCAATTCAGTTCGAAAAAAAAATCAAGTTTTACTTAATCAAGCTATTGTAGCTACAAAAAAAATGAAATATTTCCAAGGTATGTTTTGCGAAAAAAAAAATTTCATTTTTCGCGAAAACTATAAGAGCAATGAACTTGAGCGAAAATCCAAGCTGTTTCTTAACCAAATTATTTTGCCAAAATTAAAAATGCACTACTCAAGCTATTAAACTTTGAACATGATTTTCTTATGCACGAACCGGATGGCAAAACGGTGAAGTGTTTCCAAGAGAGCTATTTTAGCTAACTTTGGTATTTTGCAAGATATTTGATGAAACGAATTGATTCAGACTGATTCGGTTTGGAAAAATTTTAAGTTTTTCTAAGCAAGCTATAAAGCTATGAAATTTTGAATTATTTTAAGTTATTTCATAGACCGAATCGGTCGTGCAAAACTGAAGTTTTTCTAAGTAATTTTTTTCAGGTAGAAAACTCGAAGTCAATCAAATTTTTCCATGAATCGATTAAGTTTGTGAAAAGCTTAAAAGTTCTTTAGCAAGCTACTCAAGCTAACAAATTTTGATTTTTTTTTTCAAATTAATTTGTAGACTGAATCGTTTTGCGAAAAATTGAAGTTTTTCTAAACAAGCTATCAAAACTATGAAATTTTGAATCATTTCAAGTTACTTCATAGACAGAATAGATTCGTGAAAAGTTATAGATTTTTTACAGCAAGCTAATCAAGATATCAAATTTTGAAAAATTTCGAATTTTCTTGTTGCCCGTATCGGCTAACAATATCTTTGTTTTTCTATGTAAGTTTCTTAAGCTACGAAACGTTGAAAAGTTTCAGTGTAATTTGTAGACCAAATCGGTTCGCGAATAGTTTAAAAATGTTTTGAGCAAGCTTTTAAAGCTATCAAATTTTGAAATATTTCAAGTTTTTTCGTGTACCGCATCGGTTAACGAAAACTTTCTGTTTTTCTATGCAAGCTTTCTAAGCTACGAAACGTTTAAAAATTTCAAGTCATTTCATGGACTCAATTAGTTCGCAAAAATTTTACGTTTTTTTAAGCAAGGTTTTGAAGCTATGAAAAATTGAAGTTTTTTAGTTTAATTCGTGGACCAATTCGGTCAGCTAATAGTCTAAAGTTTTTCTCAGCAAGCTTATAAAGCTATGAAATTTTGAATTAATTCAAGTTATTTCATAGACAGAATAGGTTCGCGAAAAGTTTCAAGTTTTTTACAGCAAGCTATTCAAGAAATCAAATTTTGAAATATTTCAAGTTATTTCGTGGACCATATCGGTTAACGAAATCTTTCTGTTTTTCTATGCAAGCTTTTTAAGCTACGAAACGTTAAAAAATTTCAAGTTATTTCATGGACTCATTTGGTTCGCTAAAATTTGAAACTTTTCTAAGCAAGGTTTTGAAGCTACGAAATGTTGAAATTTTTCAATTTAATCCGTGGACCAAATCGGTCAGCTAATAGTCTAAGTTTTTCTGAGAAAGCTTATAAAGCTATGAAATTTTGACCTATTTTAAGTTATTTCGTAGATAACACAGGTTCGAAAACGTTTAAGTTGAAAAGTTTCAGTGTAATTCGTAGACCAGATCGGTTCGCGAATAGTTTAAAAATTTTCTGAGCAACCTTTTCAAGTTTTGAAATTTTGAGATTTTTCATGTTAATTCACAGACTGAATTGATTCGCAAAAAGTTAAAATGTTTCTAAGCAAGATTTTGAAACTTTGCAGTTTCGAAATACTGCAGGTTATTTCATAGACCAAATAAGTTTGCGAAAAGTTTTTCTTTGTTGTGTTTAATTGATTCGTTTCTGACTGAATTTGATCTCTAAACGCAAAATTTTGGTCAAACCTTAGGCAGGTACTGTCTAGCTTTGAAGTTGGATCGGGTTCATCTCCCTCTGATTGTTGCACTGAATTATTTTCAACCGTTGTGTTTGATAGAAAAGTTGAAATGTTGCGTCCATAGCGCATTAAGACTTTCATTTAATAAATAGGATACAAATAGCCTCAATTTTGCTATTCATAATTTGAAATATAACAATTTGAAGGCATCTACACTAATTTTGCGTGTAACCAATCGCAAAGCATCAAGCCACATTATGTATAAATTATGCATTTCAAAAAATTGCAAGACATATTGAGTTAGAATTTTCTAAAATCGAATTTTTATTATTGTGATGTTGTTTGAAACAAATTGCTTTTTTCTGTTCATTTGATAAATTAAAAATGCATCAACTTTAATAATTCATTACTATTCGAATGCCAAAACACATGTTATCAAAAAGCTGTAAAGCTGTCCCACCATTATTGCTGAAGAAAACTGGTAACAAAAAAACTAAGACCCCTCAGCAATACGCTTGCTAATCATAAAGGTATTAAATCCATTAAATTACTATAATCAAGCTCGCGAAAAAAGGAAAAAAGTGACAATTTAAATGAAAAACTTTTGTCATTTATGAATGAATAAATACATTTGGGCTGAGTTAATAGAGCTAATAACACTTATAATAAAGAAAATTCTTTTTTTTCATGGGACTACTAGATGAGAAAAATTGAAAAAATCATTGCTTCAGTTCATTAAAAATTGTTCAATTAAACCGAACTTTCTTCATATTCAGTTCCTTTTCATTGAAACTTTCTTGTTCCTTCTGAACAGCGGCTGATTTATCATCTGAGCAGTCGAGCAAATCAGTGGTCATCTGGGTGTACTGTTGATTGACAGCTGCCTGCTCGAAACACGTGTAGCCCCCACTCCTCCCCTCCTGACTCTCCTGCCTGTTCATGTCCCCCAGACACACCCACTTGGAGGGATACTTGAACTCCCCTCCCCCTGGAGCACCCATAGCCCATTTCGAGTGGTCATCGTGAGTGGAGAAGCTGACGTTGAACTGGCTAAAGTACATTTTCTCCACTGTGTATGTACAGTATTTGTCTAAAAATAGCAAATTAAAATTTAGATTTCAGGGAATCTGGCGTTAATCCCATGTGATCTGATTCACTTGGATGTATCTAATGCTGATCATATTTTAGTTCAAGCTTTTAAAAACATATTAAGCAGTTGAGTTAATTAAATTGTAGTGACCGTCGCAGTCGGAGGGCAGGTTGGTGCCGGAGTTCTGCCAGGACTGGGAGAAAAGGTCGCTCTTCAATCCAGGGGCCATCTGCTCACTCACCATATCCAGGTCCGCATTCTTGTACTTGGAGAACAGAGTGAAGACCACGCCACCTCAAAGAAGAAACAGAAGGTTGAATTCAGTAAACTAAAAAAGGAAAATCAGAGTAAACAACCATGACAAATGTTAAGCGGACGGGCCACAATGCGTCAAATGCGATATAAAAGGATGACGAAAGCAGTTTGATTGGAAAACTCTCCAACCCAAATTTGATTGACCGCAAAACTCACTTCAGATCGGGATTAGGGGGGTCCTTGTTAAGGCAGCAAAGCAGACATGAGAAATGCAGAAAAAGCCGTCGAGACCCCTTAGATTAGAATAGCATAAAAAACCAAGACATTCAAAAGAAATCAACAAACAAGTGGGTGATAGAAATAGAGCCAGAGCACGCATCATCTAGAAACAATTAGCTAGGTCGAAAAAATTAAGGAAACATATTCTTAAGTCTCGTGAGCGAAACTGGTAGGACTGCAAGCTGCGAAGAAATTCTGAAATTTGGAAACTTTGAGAAAATGCAGAGACTCCCCGGACACGTAGCTGCCCGTGCAAACGAAAGCAAACCCCGGGCGGAAAGTTGACAATCACAGCAGTTCAATTCAAAGATTAATTATTTCACCAAAATCTCTGGAATGAGATTCGAGATCGATCCAAGAGAGATACTGAAAGTAGATCAAAACCGTGCTGATAGAAAGAGGGACCCTCAGTATAAATGTACCCTCTTTCCAATATCAACGTGACTTCCAATAGAGTCCTTGATAATCCCCAAGATTTCGGCCCAAGAGGTCAGCGATGAACGCTACACAGATATTGATGCACATAAAAGGAGAAATTAATCAAAAATCGTTAAAAAATGACACACTGACTAGCTAGCCTATGCACCAACTCACAGTTAACACCAATAAACACCACGGAATAAGACTATCCATAGTAAGTAAACCTGCCCTTTGGGGAGATTGAAAAAAAAAAAACAAGATAATCTCCTTCACATTCCAATGAACCTAAACTCATCTACATCTTACAGCGTGAAAGACAAACACGTAGATGTCGTCGTTCAATAATCATAACCAGATATTTGAAGCAAACTCAAAGAAATAGAAAGAGGAAGCAGTTAAAATGTGGCATTAAGTGAAAATGGTTCGATGGAAACCAGTTTTCGGGCAACAAACGGTTCGGAGGACATTTTCTGGACCCATAATCGACACAGAGGTGAAGCGGAGCGTCACAAAACTTGCGATGCAAAAAACGCTGACGATGTGCTCCAAATAGTGAGTAAAAAAATCGACAGAAACCAAAAAAAATCTTGAAAATTATGTTGGAAAAATTACTTGAAAAAAAAACTATTTGAACAAAAGTTGAAAAACAACAGCTACAAAAATTTCATATTTATATCACATGAAGTTCTTAAGCAGCCCTTAAAAAATGAAAATAATTTACCAAAATAATTTGTGAAGTTTCAGCTATAGTACAAACTGTTTAAATTGGAATAAAACCCATGCTTTAATAAGTAAACCAATAAAATACCTAAGAGTCCTCTAGAAGTGATCCTTTAGAATTGAAGATCCTGTTGACAAAGTTGTTTGCATGAAAAAAAGCATAGTACCCGATTGCAATGGTAATCAGAATCACAGTTTAAAAGATAACAGAAATATTAGTTTCAGGATTTTCAAATACAATCCAAGAAGGAAATATCATGATCAAAGAGACAATCCTTTGGAGAGAAGAAAAAGGCTAGAAAAAACTTGTTTTTTTGTCATTATTTGTCACGTTTTTTTTTGTCATAATTTGTCACGCGCAACAAGAATTCTGGATAAAATGTTGGAATGCTGGATGAATTTTTCAGTCATTGTAAAAAAAAAAACTAAAAAAAAGCCGTATCTGGGCAAAATTCTGAACTCATCTCATGAAAAGTCACCTCTTTTAACAGACTGCAGGTAGAGGTATTCCAAGATCAATTAAAAAGCGTGCTTCTTCTTGATTCTGCAAAAAAACTATGGGCAAAAAGAAACAGAACAATAAATTCCAGCAGCGGTTCGAAAAAAGATAGAGACATGCATACCAATGCAGAATAAAGTCATGTCTGAAAAAAAATTCAGACAGACAAAATTTCAAGACCTGGGAAAAACTAAGAAAGAAAAACTATCCAATGCAAAATCAAGAAACGAAGCCTCGAGCGCATTGGGTGTATTCTGAGGATAAACAGGACACGACCTACAATAGGAGCAGTCCTCGGTGCAGCTTCCAACGAAGAACAGAGGGAACAAGCTATTGCGATGAAGGAATCAAAAGCGAGAACAGTTGCACAAACGCGAGTTATACACAGACAAATGAAAAAGAGCTGGAAAAAGAAGAATACAAACGTACCAGGAAGGAGCCTTCGCAAACAGAAAACACACCAACAAAACAAAAATTCTCCATTTGTTGACAATGTTAGAAAAAAACATCACATTGCAACTTTACAATGAAACCCGAATCGAGCAACAAAAACCACAAGAGTAAAAACCTCAAGATTATCGAAGCATTTGCAAAACATGTGTTTTTGATAAAATCAGCACTAAGTTTTAGGCGTCATAAGAGAAATTGTACAAGTTCAACACATCCCATTTAAACTTCAGCCGGCACATTCAAATTGACACATCCCATGTCCTAAAATTGGTAAATCGTTTCTAGTAACAAACATGTCGCGCCACAGTCGAGCATGACGAGAGAAACAAAAACTATCAGAGAAAGAAAAGCCATCAGGAGAGAAAGAAAAGCCATCAGAGTCAAAGAAAACGAAACAAATTTCCATTATAGCCTTTTGAAGTTATACCATTGGTTCGTAGATACAGGTGTACAAATATCGTCAGCAAAATTTAATTTGGGGGGCTAGGAAATAAGACGACAAATAAAATAGACGTCCGTCAAGAAACGGAATTTACGGACAACCAGCATTTACTCAGCCAAAAGTTAGGTTATGCCTGTGATTAAATTTCACGCAAATTACATGCAAGTTATTGTCTAAATTGGACAACCAGTATTTACTCAGCCAAAAGATATTGTTCCGACTTTCGTAACGAAAGTAACGGAATATTTGTGCACGGGTTGATTTTTTCTTCAGAAAAATTTCGATTTTTTAAATAGCCATTTTATCTGACGGAATTTTGGATCAACCGTACAATCTCCCCCCTGAATGTCCTACCGTAGAATAACCTCCCCAAGCTTGTATTAATTTTGAAATTTAGATCTGTATAAAAATGCTTTTCATACAAACCCGCAAACAAAAATTTTTGACATTTTTTAAGCGCGATTGCATTTGTATGCTATAAACTACCTAGATTAATGTTTTATAACAATTTTCTTTAATTATACAGTTAATTGTAAACAATAACTGGCGAACTATCGACTTCTGCCCTGAACAATTGGCAAGCATAACTAAAGATACACAAGAAAAACATTCGCTAGGTGTCTACCCACTTCTGAACACAATTCAGCAAAAATTGAAATCTATCAACCAGGTTTGTGGTTCTTGTTCAAGCAGCAGCAGAATTACGGCAATACCTAACTCATTCAGTGAAATGATAACTATTTATTTTCATGTATTTTCATGTTTAAATATGAGTTTTTTTTGGCTCTGTTAAGTCTCAACATTATATTCTAGTTAAATCCGAATTTCCACTCTTCCACTTTCAGCACATAACAGTGAAGCAATGCTACGATGTACTTCGCGAATTAAATGTCAAAGAACCTCTGGGACCTTCTACCTTACCTGCTTGGGCAATAATCGAGGCCAATCAAAATTTGTGACCCACCTACTTTTTGTTATTCTTGCCTGCATAGATGAGAAAGTTTTTCCATCTGAACTAAAGAAAGCAAATTTCACACCCTCATTCAAAAAATGACCCGTTGGATCCAAAAAAGTATCGCTCTATGCCAGTAACATGTGCATTTTCCAAAATCTTTGAAAAAGCTTATGCTCAAATAACAACATTTGAACAAACATCAAATAACGACTCTATTTCAGGTTGGATTTCGTAAAAAATTCCCAATACAAGATGCCTTGATTTACGTTCAGTAAAAATCCGAACAAAAAGTTTCTAGAAAAAACGTTCATGCAGCTTTATTGGGTCTTTCAAAAACTTTTGACTCTATTTCACATGATATTTTAGAAAAAAAATTACACTGTATGGGATTTTCAATTTAAGCAAATGCATTAATAAGGTTTCCTCAATGAACGCCTTAAAAGCGTAGATGTGGTGAATGGAAATTTTTCCGACTGGATTGAAATTAAAAAGGTGTGTGCCTCAAGCCACGGTACTAGGTCCATTGTTGTGCAATTTATATATCAATGATATACAAAAATGTAAACTTCATGAATGAATATTGGCGCAATATGCAAACTACTGTATAATATTTGCATCACCCCTAACTTCAAATGATGCATTGAATCAATTACAAAGTTCCTCGCTCAAACTCATTAAGTTTTTGCCGAAAATCAGTTGAATTTGATTGCATCAAAATCAGAATTTTTATTTTTTTTTGTCAGAAAATGAATGATAAACAGTGTGTGGAATCTGACCAATTTGTTATAAATAACAACACAGCGACGAAAACTGAATGCAAATATTTGGGTTTGATTCTTGCTTCCAATCATTCATTTCAATCTCAAAAAAAGAAATTAAAACGGTAGAAACTATTGGACAACAACTTCCCACATTGTCTTTGGTTGCTTTTCTTCATTGTTTAGTTTTAAGTCTTTTAGATAATGCAGCAATATTTTTGGAGCAAATTAATGCAACTTCAATGATGTCCATAGAAAAGCAGTTGAGTTGAAATGAGCTTTGAAACGCACGTTATTCAGATCAAAATTTAAATCTTCTGCCGCACTACGGAAAAGTAAATCATTTATCGGAACTGAAAAAGAATTGAATTGAAATGTGTTACATATCTATATCAGTATTTTACTTTAAAAATGCAAGCTTTTATGCATTGAGGCTAACGACAGCGAATTAAAGAGGAAATCCAAGAACAAAGCAAATAAAATATGATAACCACTGTTCAACTGCTTCTCTACAAAGTTTTTTTTCATCCGACGTCAAAAAATGGAAATCGTTGCCCAGTAAATTACTAAATTTTGGTATTACCACATCAACATTCAAAAAAATTATAAAAGTTTTGCACGACTGAAAGGAAATATTATCCTATATGTACGTATACAAATACATGCCGTGAATTCCGTTTTCATTAGTTGATTTGCAATTATATGTTCAGTTTTGCCAATGTTTTAACAATTTTACGTTCTTTACACTTTGTATGGATGTACAAATAGATTTTACTTCACCTTATCATTCCTAAATTGATGATTCTCTTGATTTAATAATTTCATCTCATTTTATTCAAACACGAGTAACTAATCTGACTTTGTCATCTTCTTCTTCTTCTATCTAGGCTATACTCAAAGTTGGCTCATAGAAAATCCGTTTTTTTTCTCCCTCTTAATTTCATTTTTTTTTGGGGGGGGGGGGGAGAATTTTTTTTTTTTTGGGGGGGGGGGTTGATCCGGAATGAAGTTTTTAAAATCGTTCGAAAAATTTTGTGGTCCTCAGCTTAAATAGAAAAAAAAATTTCTTCACCGGTAATTTTTTTGTTAGGCTATGGATGTTTAAAGATTGCCATTTTAGCTAATTTGGGACAATTAACGCGCGATATATTTCGCACTATTAACGTGTAAGCGGAGATTTAATCCATCTTAGAAATCGTTCTAAATTGGTTGAAGAAAGCTTATTTGCCATAATTGGTTGAATATTAGGCGCGAAATCTGTCTTTTGTACTTTATTTGGCATGTGCGGGGGATGATTTTCACAAAAAAATCACAAATTTTTATTTTCTTTTTCATTTTATTTTATTATATATTTTTTTTCAAGTCATTACTGCTCCAAATACCTTAAAAGGCAGACGGAACATTCAGGGCCTCGCCCTGATACGAGCAGTCTTGTTTAAGTCAAAAAATTTCATGCAATTTGCACGCAAGTTATTGTCTAAATTGCGTCTAAATTTCGTTATTTTCTGATCGTCTAATTTGCTCGTCGTATAATATCTTAAGCCCCTTTAATTTTTGCACCAAAAAGATCAATTAGAAGCTTACTTTTAAATTCCAAGATCTGTAAATAGAAAAACATTTGTTATACGTTTTACAAGCAGAAACGCATATTTGCAATCTTAAGGACCCACTGCTTAACCTAATTTTATCAAGAAACTTATGTATCAGAACATTTAACTTATGCAACTCCTTAGTAACTTATGCAGCTCCTTATTTGAACCTTATTTAAATTAGAAAGTATGCTCATTAAAACCCACCTTAATCGAAAACAAACTTTTGTTTATTGTAAGGGTTTGCACTCATTGGTATGAGCAACCACTCAAACAGAAGTCTTCTAACCAAGTGATGTGATTGTCTCGGTCGCTGTAAAGGGCTCATCTGTCACATGAGTTTCGTTCACAGTAGACGCATACAGAGACGGAACCATATCTACGAACTGATCTGGAATGGACACGTTGTAATTCCAGGGATTGGTGAACGAAAAATGCACCCCCAGTTTGTCAAACTGATCTACTCCCAAACTCACACACATCATGTCCTGTCCATAGTATGTCCCGGAACTCGGATAACTGAAACCACCTTCGAGAAAATTGGGGAATTTGGGCACGCTCTGCGTCAGGAAGAACCCATCTTGAGAATCGAACGCCCATGCACCTTTGGAGTGACCTCGTGACGTGGAGTAACCACCATTAGGCCACTGGTCATTGTAGAATCCTCGTGCCATGACGCCATCACTACTGCCATTTTTATAGTTCTCGTAGATTGGTATCAATGTGCGATAAAAAGCGCCTGGATTCAACGGAAAACTCTCAAATCGTTACATACACAAGTTTCAATTTTATTTAAACCGTAGTTTTCGCCAGGAATAATTTGTATAAAGACAAATTGATGTTAAGCTTGATAAATTACCTTTGGCTCAAAATTTCAAGGCAACTGGACATAGTGAAAAAATGCAAAAGGTAAAAACTGAGGGTATGTAAAAGATGGAGTAATTAACTATCATCTCGTCTGCAAAACATTATCAACTACATTGAGGTAAGAAAAGTAAATTTGTCTGCTTATTTGCTGTTGCTGCAAAATGATGAAAAGTATAGCGAAAAATAAACTAAAAATAACTGGAAATCTGCTGAAAAAATACTCGCTTTTGGTTGAGTTGACGTCGTTAGGTGATATCTGGTACTGCTGGTTCTTCGCATCCAGATACAAATAGGCGGTCCCATCGTACAGTTTACCCGAATCTGCCGAGTACTTGGGAAGCTTATATACTATAAACCAGTCTACAGAATTGCCATCTTCATCCATACATTTCAAAGCCAGCGAGTACTCTAGAAGAGCGAGAAAAGTCAAAAGAGGAAACAACTTTAACATGGTACTAATTTTCATGTTTGTCAAAAATAGTTTTCACAATATTTCATTCACAAATCCGTAAATAATTTGTACATGCTGCTTTATACTAACTTTTATTGATTCCAGATAAATAAGTCAAGTTTCGAACTTTGTAGGCAAAATCGATCTCTAAATCAAACAAATGGAGCAACTGAAGTTTATGAATTAGTTTTGGCGTCTAGTGGTGGTTCAAGGTTATTACTGAATATAATGAGTTAATAAGGTCAAGACTTGTTTCTTCATTAATTGCGATAATGTTACACAAAGTTTGTTGATTCGGATATGAGCAAGTTCTGACTTTACATTTGAAATTTGATATTCATTTGATGACACAGAAGCTACACTTCGCGAACACCGGCAGAAAACAGGACAAAGGAGTTTAAAAGGCCAAAAGAAAAAAATTAACCAAAAAAATGCGACTAGCGAATGAAACACTCTGAAGGATCAAACACACGGCTCTTCGTCAACCACCATTTTCATTTACTTATGCTTTTGTAGTAACAAATACCAAGAACCAACAAACGCACTTTAATGAAGCAAATGTTAAATACGCTAATTACTAAATTGTATATTAGAGCAAAAAATCTGAATTGTCCGACTGTTCTTTAGCTGGTCTCGAATAGCTTTTGGTGAGAACAAAACTAACAATTGTAAGAAAAAGAGTGACGAAATAACACAAGCTCGTTATTGTACAAAAGCAAAACTTAAAATTCATTCTGCTGGCGTAAAAATTATTTACTGGAGTATCCACAAAAAAACTTCTCGGCTTACTTAAAAATTGTTTTGGCTTGCCAAAAAAAATCGTTATCAAAAGCAAGTTATCGTCTAAATTCAGTTACTTTCGGATCGCCTAATTTGCTTGTCGTCTCATCATTTTTCCTAGACACCTGAAAATAGACCGAACTTTATTAAATTTTTCAGAAAGAAGAGCCTCAATTGGTTTTTTGGTTCGCATCTAATAATTTAAGTATGGCCTATAGTGTGGCAGGCGCGGATCTGGGAGTTTCTCGAGGGGGGGGGGGGGGGGGGGAGGTTGGTTTTAAAAAAATTGTCTACTTTTTCAGGCCGATCAAATTGATTTTCTGAGCTCTCTCAAACCACTATAAAGACCCAAATTTTCTGCGCCGTAGGCAAAATTTTGAAAAAAGGCCAAAAAAACGTTTAGGAACTTTTTTGAAAATTTCGATGAATAAGTCGCGTTTTTTCGTCACGCGCTCCCCTCTCAAATTAGTATAGATTGGCGTCAAAGGCGCCTTTAGAAAAATTTTACGATCATTCAGCCAAAAATGGATATCTCAAAATAGTACGAAGGGAGACCCTTAGGGTCGGAAGGGGGTCGAATCGTCACTAACCGCCGCCAAATTGGAACAAATTTTATATTTTAAGGGTTTCGCTATGAAAGAAACAAATTATTGCTTCATTTAATTCATTTTAATTGAATGGCATTACTTCTTTTTTTAAAATTGACTTTCGGCTAATTTTGTTTTCGGCTTTTCGCCGAGTTTTTTCGCCCATTCGGTCCTTCAAGCATGAGAATAACCCCCTATATTTTGAGTCCAGCAATTATCGGATTAGTCTTATCTCTCATATAATCGTATTATCTTATATTTCGTATTAGGGTTTTTCGTAGTTTGTCGTATATCGTGTACAAAACACTGATTCTAATTAACATTTAAAGCATTTTTACGTTACGAAAACTTAATTTGGCCGTATATACTTGCCCGAACTCATCTGAATCTCCAGCTCCAAACTTTTCTGGAAGCAATCTTGATGTTCCAAAAAGTCTGGGAATTAAAGTTTTCCCTTGAAAATTTGGGTTTCAATAAAACCTATTTTTCTCCAAGTAGCTAAGCTCCAAAAAAACGAATAGATTCGAATTGAAAAGCGAGCAAATTGATTCGAACCGAACCCTAACTGATCGAACCGTTCCATACAAAATTGTTCTGACCACTTCACAATTTTGACTACCTCAAGGAATGCTTGCATTTGATCCAGTGTTAATTTATATTGAAGCCCTATTGGCCGTTATTCCGATTCCACACATTTCAAAACCGTATCTCAGTATCAAGAAAAAAGCAGCTTGAAAAAGTTTTTTTTTCAAGCTGATTGACAAGAATTTCGTGAATGAAACTGAATTCTATATACAATTTTAATACAATTTTTACGTAAATAACCTTAATTTAGCCTCTAATTTTTCCAGTTTTTAACATAATTAAATTGTCCTTTTTCAAAAAATTGGTCTTCATTTTACCGTTGTTCAGACTAAATGAACTAAAACTTCACATTTTTTTCTTTATTTTAGCTTTTCAGCCTTTTGAACTTGTTCGCTAGAAAAGTTGAGATTGGAAAACTCTGTGCTACTTGGACAAAAACCGGATACCCTTTATTGCTTTAGCCGCAGTATGTGACATAGTATCAACAAGGATAGCCGGTTACTAAGCAACTAGCACAGAATGTTCCCGACGTCTTTTTCAAATTGTCGTTTTTTTTTCGGCGTGGTGTGATAAAAAGAGCGGACCAAAAAAAAACTTGGGATTAGGTATTTTCGACAATCATAGTAAAATAAGCGAATTGAAGTTTTTTGAATTTAAGGAATATTTGATTCCGAAAAGGGGCTAAAATACTCTAAGTTAAGTAATGTTACTCGAGTAAAACGAATTTTATACATTTAAATTACCCTATTATAAGCTTTTAAGTAATTAAAATAAGACTGCTCAAACGCTTTATTCGCTCGAAATAAGACGAAAATTCAAAAATTTCAAACCCGTTTTTCTCGACACTGAAAATTTTTAAATATGGTTCGAATCACAACTGTAAGGCTTTTAATATGATATGTCACTCAACCCAGTCCGATGATTATTTGTGGTACCTGATTTTGAGTGGACAACAAAAAGAAAAAAATTAAAACACCCGAATACAAAGTTTTCATTTTAACTAGAACAGCTGCTGCTCAAGAGATATTACTAATCAAGTATTTTTTATTAATCTAACTTACATCTTTTTCAGTTTCTATTGCTCAAACTTATTTAAAAACTCTGAAGAATGAAGGATTCATTTTTGAGATCAAAATTTTTCTAACCAAAATAATTATTGCAAAAATCATTTTTTTTAAGTTAAGTGTTAATTCGATGTCACACATCGTGATCGAACAACAGTCAATGTCCAGTCGTGACATTTCCCTTCTGGTAAAACTCCATCAATCTCGTGTACATCTCCTGCGTTAGAGCCTCAGTCTTACTGAAGGTTGATTGGTCAACCGTACTTGCTCCTTGCTTCTGCTGTTCCAGAAAATGCGTAACTGTCGGAATGTCTATATTCTGTAGTATAGATTGAACGCAGGATTCTGCTTTGGATCTGTCAGGTATTGTGAAAGCCTCGTTTAGTTGCATGAATAGATCATTGATGTGTTGAAATGCCTCTTCGAATCGGCTTTCGCTGATGAGTGTTTGGAGATTTACATTTCTGGCCTGTTGGTCCTTGAGTCTTTTGCGTCTCTTTTTGCACCATAGCTCGTGGCAGTCTTGATATTTTGGCAGGCTGAAATAACTACCGGTCATAGATATATAGAATGTCTTCAAAGTTGCCTTGCTGATTAGTTTTTTCAAATAAACTAAAGCATCTGCAATTCAGTTAACCTCCTAAATGCGATCAGCCAATCAAAATACAGGCCATCCATTGAATCAAATCCATCATATAAGTAAGCCCGCTGAGTATAAATATATAGGTATTTTTTGAATTCTTCTTAGAAGTTTCTTTATGTATAGCAATTCAACCGCCCTCATAACTTGGAATCATTTATCTACATGTGAAAAATAACTATCTTCACTAATCTTTACAGATTTTGCCCCATTAATAAGACCCGTTTACGCTTTTTCATAGTTTTTCATCACTCAAAAAACTGTCCCAATCTCAACTCATAAAAATGGAGCATTACTCATCTACTGGACTGGTAACACACCTTGGAGGTTCCATCTGTTCTGGTATAACATTGTAGAGCCAGTGGTGGTTGAGTGCCTCGGCGGCAGAGCACCTTTTCTTCGGATCCAGAGTAAGCATCTTGTCCAGCAGGTCCAGAGCATCTGCTGGAATTCTAAACAAGAATTCAGATTGCTTACTCCTTTCAAACTTTAAGAACTGGCAGGCAATATCTTGTTATCCAGACGCTCCTACGAAATAAAACCAGGAACCTAGTCAACAGACAGTAGGAAAAAAGCCAATGACCGTAATAAAAAATAGATAGCCTTAAATCTCTTTGAATTTCAAGAACAAATTATAATTGGCCTTTTTTTGATAACCTGAACCCAATTTGAGAAAACTGGATTAATAGGTGTAAAGCTTTTATTCCGCTGGGAAATCATAAAACTAACTTACTGTGCGTATGTCTCCCTCAACATCCTTCTGTACATTTTCTTTGGTTTCAGCTTCGAGAAAAGTGGCAGCTCAATCACCAATGGCCAGTTAGCAGGACAAGGCGTGCCACATACCCTAGCGATAGCTTCTAACTGTTGGGCCTCATCCATGCCTTGAAAAAGCGCGCGACTCATAAACAGCTCGCCCATGATGCAGCTGAAGCAAAACATCATCAAATACTCTATAAATATATTTGGAACCCTGTTGAAAGGTAATCACGACATACAATAATAATTAACCAGGTATCTCAAATAATGTTATGTCTCACCCCGTGGACCATATGTCGACGTAGGGTCCGTATCTCTCTGCTCCTAGGAGCAACTCGGGAGGTCTATACCAGATGGTGATGATGTTGTTCGTGTAGAGCCGGTTCGCATCATCTGCATCATACAGTCTCGCCAGTCCAAAGTCGGCCAGTTTCAATTGGCCCCTTAAATATCATTAATATCTTATCAACCGGTTATCAGCTCCACTTTACTCTAAAACCTTTACAGTAGCTGGCTCTTTGTTTCAACAGTCTGATAACCCTTCCGCTAGTCATGTATGAATTACACTGGCAAAACGGATCTCTTCAACTATATCCCTACTCGGGTATTTAGTAACGAATATCCCCCCTATAAAGAAATAAATCAACGGTTAAGCATATCAGAATTTTGTACCTAGTAACGAGTCCCTCCCTTTTGCAAAAGGGGGGATATAGTTAAAGAGATCTGCAAATCCATTGAAAAAATTACGCATCGCACAGTAAACCAGGGTTGGCACGTTTCAAAAGGTTTCATGACAATTTTAATTCTGGAAAATCAATTAAAAACGCAACAAAATGCCGAAAATTTGAGAAAATTATGCCGACAGTTTAATAAAATAAAATCTAGGAGAGTGTTAAATGAGCCAGAGCTTGAACATAACTTACTATTTCTGAGTTTTTATAAGAGTTAGTTATCATTCGGACTTTTTCATTGAATTCTCGGTACTTTTTACGGGTTTAATTGGTGGTACCGCTGGTTGCTTCTGGTTGTAAGAAGCAACCAGCGGTACCGGTTGCTTCTGGTTGAATGTTGAATATTGAACTTCTGGTTGTAAGAATCAAGCTGAATTTTTTCTAAAAACGTATGAATTGAGGGATGGCTGCCCTGGAAAAGCGACGTAACGCCGTTATGCCAGCCTTCAACTGCATTGGTTGTTCGAATGAGACCAGCCGCCGCGTTGTCGTAATGATTCCATAGAGCTGGGGGTAACAAAGGATCACCCTGTTGTCGACCAATTGTCTCCTTTTATATAAGTCTTCGTGAAATATGATGCGAGCTCGTCAATTTTCTCGAGAATTTCAGTTGGAATGTCAAACTGATCGGCAGTTTGGCAAATTTCGTCTATGACAAGAGTAAACGCAGATTCGACATCTGAGAGAGGAACAAAACTTAAAGCTGGGATGATTTTTATGCTTAAGGCTAGCTTAGCGTTGTTTTCATAGGTTTTTTTAGACCTAACTCTGAAAGCGTGTGATGGAAACTTTGGCATAAATGAAAGTAGCAACCTTTGATTTCAGTTTTATATGGGGACGAAAATGCGTTTAAGGCAGCTTGCTCGAAGTCAATTGAGAATTTTGTCTGGTACGACGTCTCCAATAAGGCTAATCAGGGCTTCAAGAAACCTGTTGTAAGTCTACTCCTTTTTGTTGCTAAGTAAAACGTAAACACAGGGGGATAAAAGCCGCCAATCTGGATATGTACTGTGTACAATTGATAAAATTGAGACGGAAATATATTGAAAGTTCCATCACAAAGCCAAAGAATGCTATGAACGCGCAGAGCAATTAAGTTTTCCATGTCCCCGAGAACAAGGCATCGCTCACGTCTTCTTTTCCGCTATCATGTAGACAAAAAGTTAAATATTTGTCGGGAATGTCGAAGTGACGGTCGGTCGATGAAATCACTTCAAGTGGTTCATGCGTTTTCTTCCTATTGAAGGTTCTCGTCAGGGCTGAACATGAAGGAAATGAAAACCGGATTATAGTTTACAGTCTTGAGGCTAGCTGCTATCGACTGGTTGTTAGCTTGATTCATTTGCGATTTTGCTGTTTCTTTCAACTGACTAACTAGCTGCCTTGCTTCTACGCGACCGGGGTTAAACTCATAGCTGTGCTCGTGATTGAACGAAATAATGGTTTCATCGCAAATTATGAGAGTCATTGGGCATTTATGTGAACGCCATTTTGCACAACGCCAGTGGGTGGTAGATTTGGTGTCTCGCTTTTTAGTGAACTCGTGTTCGACCAAGATAAGCAACGCTTTGCCTTGTTGAGTTTTCCGTTGATAAAATTTGTCATAGTGGTGTTCATTCTATTGGTACTATTTAAGTAATGATATATATTTGCGTTATGTTTCATTATCAAAACTTTCTCAATCATGACTCCATTAACAGGTTGAAAAACAAAATTTAATCCCTAGAAAATAGTCTTTTACCATTAGCACTATCTCTATATGGCGTCTCGAAATAATTGAGGAAGTTGAATTGAGTCTCTTTTTAATTGCGATATAGATATATGCACCAATCTTTGGTAATCTATATCATAAATTAATTGACGTGGGCTATATTGGTAATGGCTATTGTGTCTATTGGGATATATTTGTATGGGATATTTTGTAATGGGATACTTTGTCCTGTCACCGTTTCAAAACAGTGTTTTAAAACAGTTTTTAAACAAAGCCATTTTTTGTTTTAAAACATCAGGACGGTAGCATCTTTTAACAAGTCAGCCGCTATAAAATTGTTTCTTTTGGCGGGAGAATTGATGTTTGCAGCTAATTTTTTGCTTCCGATGTTCGGATGTCAAAATTTGATCGAGTCCGCAATGAATAGAGCCATAGTGTAGGTTTTTGAAAATTGCCCCAAATTCGAAAAGAACATGTTTCATTATTCAGCGAGTAAAATTTTCCGGTAGTAAAACTGTTTTAGGGAAGTTTTAAACGTAGAAAAATACTTTTATACGTTTTTAACCAACCCTTTCCTCAACCATCCGGAGCGCCACAATGCAATTTGTAAGGTGAGCTCTTGCAAGTAAGTCATAGCTTAAAGGGCGCTGAATATATGCGCTCATGTCAATGTAAATAATTAACCTCTGGGTTAGGCCTCCGGGCTGGTTGACAAAAAAAGTTTTAAATAAACCCTTAACTCGCACCACGAACAATAAACGATAAAGTTGAAAAATAAAAATTGATTTTCTTTCAGTCACTCTTGTTTTCTGTTGTCTCTGTTTGTACTGACTTGTTGTTGATGAGTATGTTGGAGCACTTGATGTCGCGGTGGAGGAACTTCTTCTTGTGGCAGTATGCCAGTCCGTCCAGCAACTGTTTCATCAAACTTTTCACATGCTCCTCCGTGAACTGCACCAGACGACTGTCCAGCACTCCCAGCAGGTCGTGGTCCATGTACTCGAACACCAGGTAGAAACTGCCTAAAGTCAAATGATTAAGACACTTTAAGGACAAAAGAAGTGTTATTAACTTACTAGATGCCCTAAAACTAGAAATATTAACTACTACATATCCAGAGGCACCACCGACACTGTTCGGAGGTATTTTTGTTCGTTAAGTTTTTTCTTTTATAGCTAAATTTTGGCACAAATTAAGAATTTGTTCTCCAGCATTGGAGAAACTTCTGTTTCTATTTTTTCTACGCGACTGTGGATAATTTTAATTGTCAATTTGAGACAAAAACTGAAACAACGAACTTAAGCAGTGCATCGCGCAACTGAGTATTTATGTTTCATGATAGAACGACGGATGCTGAAGAGAAAACAGAACATTCTACAAAACTATGAACCTTTTCCGTTTTTCCACTCATGCGCAGATGCCTTGTCAGTGACTATTTCCACTAGGTTCACAATGGCCGCGTGCTTCAGCTGTCTGAGAATCTTCACTTCTCTAATGGAGGTGATGGGGAATCCCTCGCGCTCCTTGTCAGTCAACACCTTCTTCAGTGCATACATTGTACCTAAACAGATGCAGAGTGCGAGCTGTCAACTTTCAAAAACCAACCTCCTCCTCTCAAATTTTGATATCATAGATCCGTCTCACCCATAACAATGAATGATCAAAAGATCAATATCTACTGACCGTTGTAGAAAATTATAAACTAATTACATGCTTGAATAACCACAAAATTACTTATCCATAATTACTAAAATGTGAAATATGAATTTGACAATCAATTCGACTTCTAGTCATTACTATCTACCTGACTCCTTGTGGCGTGCCTTGAACACCTGTCCGAATGTGCCCTCTCCTATCTGGCTGATGAGTTCAAACTGGTCCACACTCCCAAACGGCCATGTCTCCACTGCCCTCTGCTCCGCTCGCAACTTGGCGATATTGCTGGGAACCTAACACAAAATCATCTAACTCACCGCCACAAATGATAACCAGCAATTATTTTCAAGCAAAAACTGCTCAACTGATTAAGTTTAAAGCACATTTCAATACTAAGTGAAAAAAACGTGCGAAAAAAACCAACTTATTTTCTGAACAATTAAGCAACTTAATATTTTTGAGACAAGGTTATTAACTTGTCACTAGCCTTCAGAACTTTAGGTTTTGGTGCCTCAATCCCGTCTGTGATTCCTGTAGGCGAGTTGCTGTTTACTGATCCTGTGCTTTTGTTGTCATCTTCAGCCACCTCTTGCTTCAATTTTGCCAACTGAGGAGAGGCAACTGCAATTGCAGCATTAGCTGAAACTCGTAAAAAGGCTTTAGCAACTTTTATCCACATTTTAAAACCACTCCATAAAAATTAGCTTTTTCCAATTTACCCGAAGCCAACCAGCGAAGAAATTATAGCGTCTGATCAGCTAAATTTGAAGCTCGAGGGGACGGCGGTGAGGGGGATGACGGCGGTGAGGGGGAATTTTACGAATGCATTTTGAATTCTGGCATTGAAGTTTTGAAAGAACAATTCCACCTTTCACTAGCACGACAAATGGGACTTCAGGAACTGAAAAGATCTTAGTCCAAAAAAATCCAGTCAATGCTTATCGTTTGGAACTTGAGTTAAAACGTAGCCAAAAAAAAACAATTGGAAACGAGTACAAGAAAACCGTAAAAAGTTGATTAAAATTTTGTGATGCAGAGGCTTCGCACCAATTGCGATACCATAAAAAATAGCATACCACAAAAAAATAACTCATGAAAAACCTCGTCTACTCTGACTGCACCCACTTACAGGGTTGGTAATTTCACACTTTTTATTTTTTTAATTCCCATTTTGAAAAACCACGAAAGCGTCATCTCGAAAATTTAACGGACCTCTGGAGAAATTTGGAGCCAGATTTGCAACCACTGAGAGTCCCTGAGAGCACCCTACTATAGGGTTGGGAATTTCAAATTTCGTGAATTTTTTTAAACTTAAGTTTTCGAAAAAAAATTCAAAACAATTATAAAAAAACGTCTTTTATCGGAAACTAAAAAGATTTGAGCATTCATATTTAGAGCAAGGTTTGAAACGCCTGGGTGTACGCTGACAATAAGATTGTGTCTTCATCAAATTAGTAGTTTCAAATTTTGTTAATTTCTTGGTAGATCAGTTCTTTGAGAAATTTTGAAAAAAATCAAAAAAACGTCACATCTCAGATACTAAAAGCATTCGAGCAGACGCATGTGGCAAGATTTGTAACTCCTGAGAGTACCCTGACAGAGAGTACCTAAGAATTTCAAATTATGAGAAAAAAAATTTAAAAAAATCACAAAAAACGTCATATCTCGAAAACTACAAGGATTTGAACAGTCATATTTGAAAGCAAGATTTCCAGCTCCTTAGAGTACTCTGACAGCACCCAACTATAGGGTTGGGAATTTCAAATTTCTAAAAATAATTTAATTATTTTTTCTAAAAATTTTGAAAAATTCACAAAAAACGTCACTTCTTGAAAACTACATGGATTTGAGCAGTCATATTTGGAGGCAAGATTCGCAATCCTTGAGAATACTCTGACAGGAGTCAACTACAGGGTTGGGAATTTCAGATTTTGAAGAAAAAAACTAATTTAAGCTTTCTGAAAAATTTTGAAAAAATCACAAAAATCGTCTTATCTCGTTAACTAAAAGGATTTGGGCATTCAAAACTGTAGGCCAAACTCGCAGCCCCTTGGGGAATCCGGGCAGTATCCGAATATTGGGCTGCTTCACTGAGAAATAACCACAAAAATCAAACTGGAAAATCGAAAAAAAACCTTAACCATTGCAATATACGAGATAGCTTAAACGTGCAAAAATTCTTTCGTTAAACATGCAAAAATAATGCGTTGAAAAAGCTTAAACATGGCGAGATAGTGAAGCTCGCATTTAAATATATAATAGATAATAAATTATCGAGCGACAACTGAGCCGACAAAAATTGTGTTAATTACCAAAAAAATTACTTTCATGAAAAACTTTGAAATGTAGATACTATTCTAAGGTTTTTTGGCAATTAGTGCCATCTAGTGGAGCATTAAAATGTCTTTTCTTTGAAACGACCCAAAATTAGGTCACTAAGCCGATAACTTATGAGCCAAAATCATAAAGGGCTGAATACAGTTTTTAAGCTATAAAAAAGGGAAATATACAAAGCCAAGGTTCGTTAAGATTACAACTGCAGGAGTAAATCAAAACACTAAGAGCACCTACAATGAAATACGCTTTCATAAAAAATTTTTACTAAGAAGTGCGAACTAAGTCGACAAACTTAAGCCGACAAATGAAAAAAAAAAGAAGTCCGGGTCAGATTCGAACTTAGGAGCGATGCCGGGTCAGGAGTATTCGTTGTCTGAAGACGGAGATGCTAAGAAAATTGAAAACATATGAAACAAGATACCAATTGATTGAAATGATTCTGTTAAACAAGTTCTTAAGCCGAAAAAAAGAAGTCCGATTTGATAACGCTTGCTAATCGCAAACGCAAACACTTTTTCAAATTTCGAATTTCAAAGAAAAAAATACACAACGTTGAAATTATTTGAATTTCAAATACTGTTTGATTGGAACTTCGTTCGTCAAGTTATGCTATTTAGATAAACCTGGATCGATAGGTAATTTAAAAAAAATTAAAGACAGAAAATTAAAGTCTTATTTTTTGAAACAGGAAGTCATTCTAGTTTCTCTTGACCTATTAATTTTGCTGTTCGATAGTGGAACTTGCCTTAATTTAGCAGCAAAATTAAAACTAAATTATAGTCTCCGCAATCTTGTCAGACTCAAAAGAACTTACGATACAGTTTGGGAAGTGGCAAGTCTTCTACGAGTGATTTCCTCCCTGAAGACAGTACATGTCCACTATTCTTGGTTTTAAACTCTGGTCTTGGAATCAATTTCGGGTTACTCTCCGGTTTCTCGTCCTCTTGACTCGAGGAAGACTCCGAGGGCGATGGAGACCCGGGCGAACTACCCGATGAGTCGTCGCTTTCCGAAAGAGGTGCCGTCATATTCGCAGGAGGCATCGGGAACTCCGTTAGCTTCCCCGTTCCAATTCGCTCACTTGGTCCATCATTTGATGGCAGAGAGGGAGTAGTCGAATTTGATTCCTCTTTCGGCAATGGGGGAGGCGAGAGAAGGTCTGGGGGTAAAGGTGGGGGCGGCGGTGGTGGCGGAGGACATATTATCAAACTTTTATCTTTGTCACTACTGGAAGATATATTGCTATTAACGGTTGATACATTTACATTCATTTGTTGTGATGACGACACTTGGGCTAGGGGATTTTTCGATTGTGCCTTTGGCATAAGCGAATCTTTTGTAGCGAAAGTCGTAAAAGATTTATAGGGAGTATTTGAGGCTGACACCGTCGCAGAACTTGAACTATTATCATCTCCAGCAGATCTTTTGCTAGTTTGTATTTTATCTAGTTCCGATTTGAACGTGGTTTGAATTGACGACGATTTTTGCTTCGACCGATGTTGCGGAGATCTGCTTCGGTGTCTGTAGTCCCGTGAATAATCGTCTTTCCTGTCGCGTTTGGACTTTTTTGGCCTGCTTTCTGACTTTTCAGAAGCTTTAGACAAATTTCTGGAAGATGAGTCATTGTTTCTTGAAGACGATCTTGACCTGTTTTTGGTTCTCGGACGCTTGTAAGAACCATGCCTAAACACCGCAAATACGTTTTCAGCAACAACTATTAGCTAAATAGCCATTAAAAATGGAATAAATACTCACTCGGTTTCCGATCTTTGTTTCACTGATGTTTCTGCACTCGATTTCCTCTCTCGTTTTCTACTTTTAGACTCTTTTGCATCTTCACTAAAAATCAATTCAACTAGTAAAAAATGTCCATGTGAACAATCTCCTTTAATAGACCAAGTGAACAATCTCTTCCTAAAATTAAATGACAAATTCAAGCCATAAAGCCTCCATGTACTATGCTCAAATCTGATTGGCTGAAAAATATTACTTTTAATCAAATGAACAATCTCCCTCCTAAATTGAATTGGGGGGGGGGGGGGGGGGGATTGTTCACTAGGCCTAAAAAAGATAACAAGCGATTCAATGCCAAACATTAATTTATTGCTTCAGAATGTACAAGGATCGCTCAAAAAATGAATGAAGAAATGCATGGGTTCAAATTTGTTTCCGTCCCATTTTTGCAATAGTGATTAGACGTAAAGTTAAGGCACACACATGTAAAGTTAATCGCATTGAGATAAGACTCTGACTCGAATTTATTCTAAGCTACATGATCAACGAACATAGACTTAAATCTTACTTCCAAGATTCATCTTTATTTTCGTGCGTTGGCACATACGAGCTTGTCACCAGAAACTCATGATCCTGCGGACTTCGCCTTCTATCTTTTTTCTTCTTCTTTTTCTTTTCGCTGCGGGAAGCAGTTGATTCTTCCTCCGGCTGGCCTGAAGCGTCAGCTACGCTTGATTTTCTAAACCAAACAGGTCTCTTAGATTACAACCAATTGAAATAATGATTGACAACCTAGAAATTAATAAGAATTGACGACGCAGAATTACCTGCCGCTTGCAATAAAAATATTGCTTGCGTTGCTTACGAGAAGTCAATGCAACACTATAAAGTATGATAAACTACAATCTGCAGCCGAACCATTAAATGCTAAAGGTTGAGAAAATGAACAAAAAACAACATATTTAGGCAATGATTTGTTCACCGAAGTATTTAATAACAAAAAAAAATATTTTTTTGAATATACCTGTAAACAATTTTTTTTCAGGTACCTATAATACATAACTTGAATATACCCTAAAAATCTTTTAATATCCAAGTTTCAAGAACTGCGCCAAAACTGCACAAGCAAACCACAGACACATAAATGAAGTAGTATCGATTTACCACACCATCAGAAGTTAAAACACAGCCAACATGTAGTTGAAAATGTGTAAAGAATAAGGAAACTGAAAAAAAATATATAGAAAATGTTTGCACCTTTACAAATTTTGCGTTAACGCTCTTAGAATTTTATGAACTATTTATAAACGGCACATTATCGAAACTTTTTATACGGCAAGTTATCACATTTAGAAAAAACTGGATAAAAAGGTACATTTTTTGATCCATGGGAAATTCCAACAAAAAAATTTTAACTTAAAAAAAAATGTGCAAAGTATAACGTTTAGGAAAATTTTGGCAAAACAATAACCAAAAATCATTATGTAAAACAAATGGACAATATAAGAATATAAGAGAATGAAAAAAATTGACTTATCTCGATTTTTTTACCAGCTAATAACGAAAGAAAGAAGTTTAATTCCATATACGCCCTTGAATAAGCAAATGTAATCATTAACCACTATAAACTTCTCATTCGGAAACTAAGCCGATAGAGCTTCAGTAACTTCAGTCGAAAAACAAAGCAAAAAATGTCAGAAAAAAAATTATCGTTATACATATATTTTTATACACAGGTTGATGACCCATGTATTACATTTTGAGCAATTATTTGATCATTTGAAAAATTAAGGTAACTGAGCCGTAGACTAATCGGCCGAAAACATTTAGACTCAAATTTTTAACTCGACACTAAATAGTAAGCTCCAAAATCAATTGGAGTTTCAACAAAGAGAGGCAAAGCGGAGCAACGAACGCGTACCATTGCAAGCTACTAAATGGTCAGTGAGATAAAAAAAAAACTCAGACAAGCTTTATCATTTCCGAGCGACCACTAACCCAACAACACGCGATTTGACGCCAATTCATCCGAAAACAAAAATCCCCAACGAAATGACTGTGGCATAAAAATGAACACTTTTTTGGAAATACGAAAACATCAATCTCTGAAAAAGCTTTCAGTAAACAGGGTTTTATAAAATTTTCAAGCGTTAACTAAGCCGAGAACACGTTATTAGACGCCAATTAAGCCAAAAACAAAAAAGGCCAAAAAAATGAATGATCAAAAAGTTTTAACTTTTATACTACAAGCCGACCTGATTTTTTCCAAGAAAGAATAATTAATTTGTATCCTTATACCAATGCAAAATAAATTCACTAATCCGACAAAACAAGAGCCGAAATCATTAAGGCTGAAAAAAACTTCTAAGGAAAAACAGAAATCGGAAAAAAACGAAAATATACCAGTCAGGTATAGTAATTTTAAACAACTAAAGGAGCTAATCAACGACACTAGAGACTACCAAGAAAACTGATAACAGCGCAAAAAAATGAGATGGCAACTAAGCCGACGATACATAAGCTGACATACTATAATCCTACTAATAAATTTTTTCAAGAAAAAATTCAACTGCAGACACTGAAAAAACAAGGGCTGGCCAAAACTCGAACCCCTGACATAGGTTTTAAAGCCAACGGCATTACCTCCAGACCAAGTGCAATGAGGAATTTCAAAAGTGAAAGAAAAGTTGTTTTACGGAAAAAAGTCTAGTTCCCGATCACAAGACACTTGCTCTCGCAAGTGTAGGAAATACAAATTACATCAAATAATCAAAAAACACTTTCAACACAGAGGCGAAGCCGAGCTTCGCACCATTTGCGATACAACTCGAACATAAAAAACATAAGTCGACCAAAAAAGTTTTTATATCTTGTAGAACAAATAGCAGAACCAAAATTTTCGTATGTGTTTGATATTGAATCAATTTGCTACACTGATGCGGCACAAAAATGTGATTTCAAAAATTGGACTTTGCCCACAACCGTAGTTGCTTCTCAACCAAAATAAGTTAGCAGAGTTGAAAATTTTAAGATAGTCAATTTTCCCAAAGAGATAACGTTTCTCTTGCAAAAAAAACTAAGGAGCCGCCGCTTCTGCAGGAACCATTATCGCAACCGGTTCTTTCAATTGAAACTTTCATCTCAGGTTTGATTGCATAAATTTTAAGAAAATTCAAAAAGTTTCAAAAAACTGTCACAAATTCTGAAAAAAAACAAACAATGATTTCCAAAATCCATGAATTGTTCCAGCATGTTGTGGCCCGCTTAAGCAGAGAAGATTCCCAAAACCGAATTGCACGGTAGTTTTCGCGTAAATTCAAAACTTTGCAAAAAAACTGTCAAGGTTTCACTTTCGACTTGTTTAAAGCTATTGCTTTTTTCTTAAAGAAACTGGGCATAGCCAGTTACAAAAGTAGGCTTTCAACAACCTTTTTTTAAGATTAAACCTATGATATCAGATTTGGCAGGATAATTAGCGAGAAGAGTCCAAAAAATGATCAACTAATCCAAAATGTGATATTTCCGAGAATCATAGCTAACTGTGTGAAAATAACGAGTAGCCACTTAAGCAGAAGGGATTAAATCAACTTGTAATTTCGATGGAACTCAAATTCTCAGATTTGGGACTAGTTCTCGAAAAATGTCAAAAAAATTTTACAAAAAAACGGCCAAAAAAATTAAAATTTTGACTTTTCCGAATGTCACTGACTATTGTTATCAGAAAAATTTGGGAGTTTTCGCATGCATAAGCCAATGATTTTCCCACAACCCGTTCTTCGAAATGAACCCAAAATCTCAATTATGGCAGGGTAGTTTTCGAGAATATTCAAAAAGTTAAAAAACGGTCGAAAATCAAAAAAATTGACTTTTCCGAGTGCCATAATTTTATGTGTAAAAAAATTGGGCGTAGCCGCTCATGCAGTGAGCTTTTGGAAACCGTTCTAGGCATTGAAACCAAAACTTGAAAGGGTTATTTTTCGAGAAAAAAAAATATATATATGGGTCAAATAGTCCTTTAAACATTTTCGAAGGCTGTAGACAGAGGGTTTAAGTAAAAAGACCCTAGGGGAGTATACTGGCACACAGTGGAACAGAAGGTCTTTCTGGAAAAAGCTTCAGAAGGACTAAAAATTGTCCAAAAATTATGGAAATATTTTTCCATAAGAAAAAAAAGAAATTTCAACAAACCGATTGGTAAACATACAACTTAAATCAAAAACTAGGAGGCGAGTGTTCAAATTGTTTTTCCCTTCAAACGACCCAAATGTAGGTCATTAAGCCGATAAAAAATAGGCTGAAATAATTTCGACCAAGAAATTTTATTTTAGCGAAACAAGAAAAATCAAAGAAGGAAATACGAAGCCAAGGCAAGTAAAATTGCAAATTGTAGTAAATCGAACACTAAAGCAACATTTCAGAAAAATACACGCAGCAAAAAGAAACGATTTCAAGATGTGGCAACTAAGCCGACAACTGATAAGCAGACAAATAATTAGCCGACAACTGATAAGCAGACAAATATTTGGCCGACAACTTTAATTGAAACAGAATATTTCCCGTATGAAAAAAACAGGTCCGTGTCAGATTCGAACCCAGTGCCTTTGCCGTTCCAGGCATATTCATTACCTTCAGGCTATAAGTTGGACAGGAACGCAAAGACGTTTGAATTCAATATGAACGAAGATACAAGTGATTCTGTTAAATAAGTTGTTAACCCGACAAAAAAGTCTATATTCCAGTTTGATAACGCTTGCTAATCGCAAACCGATATTGTAAAGAATGATATCGTTTTTTTTGAAAAACTAAGCCGAAAAACTACTTAGAGAAAAAAAAACATTTTTTGATTTTTTTCCAAGTAGTTTTTCAGCTTAGTTTTTCAAAAAAACATCTTGAAAATTTCTTACCTCTGTCTCGGATAATGTTCATAAACAGCCCTAACAATCATTGAGGACCAATGACCGGGTGGCAACTAAAATGGGTTCGAACATCGTTCAGCCGAAAATGAAAAATGCAGTCTTGAAAAAATAAGAGCTATCAAATTTTGAAACTTTTACAGCTCTTCTGAAACACGCAAAAGCATTTAAAAATCCACCTTCAATCTACGCAATATAAGTTGACTAAGCCAATATAACATAAGCTTAACCCGCTTAATCAGAAAAACATAAATTTAAAATCAGAGTTGGTAAATTTACAAAACAACTTTCGATTATAACAGAAAGTTTGAATGAAAAAGTACCCAAGCAATGAGAAAAAAACAACTTGGAAAATGTACCAAATACAATACATTTAAGAAAAAAAAACTGAAAATGAGCCATCAGTTAGAAACTAGGACAAAAGTCAAAAATCAACATTTTTTCAATAAAAATATTTGAAACATTAATTACTACCTAAAATTATTTAACAGGTAGTTTTAATTGAATTTGAGCGTATGAGCTTGTATAATGTGAGAAGTACATGCAGTTTTTGTGACCTTTACATTTTTGCTGTTCGATAGTGGAGTTTGCCTTCTTTTAACGAAGGAAAATGAGTGAAATTAAAAAGAAATCAAAGTCAAACTGCAAAAAAGTAAATTTGAGCCTAAACCAATTTCAAGACTGTGAAAAAAATCATCGCGACCTATATAAGAGTCTGAACTACGTTCATCAACTTTTAACACCTTACTAAGCGGCAATCACGCCGACAAAACTTTGGTCCAATCCCGTTATGCCGAAAACAAAATTTTAGCTATACACTTTTGAAATTCGAAAAGGGAACACACCAGGACGCTGAAATCAAAACTATTATACATCACGCTAATAAATGATTCAGTGAAATTATTAGACAGGTTGTTCGCCTGAAAAAATGTATGTCCTGATTGATAACGCTTTTACAATCGTACATTACCGAGCAAAAAATCACCTAGACTCTTCTTTAGATTCTTTTTTGTGTTTCTTCTTTTTCGACTTTTTGCGAGACGAAGAGTCCGTCTGAGTGAGAGTAGGATGCAACATCAACTGATCAGACTCAGAGCTGATATCGTCATATTCGCTTGGACACTTCCTTCTGTGTCCGCTACCTGATCCATGGGAAGCATCGTGACGGCTTGACATGAGGGCTTAGAATTGCAGCATTATTTTTCGAAACACCATCATGATTCTTTAACCTGAAATTTTTTTGCTACGTTATTTGAAACTGACTCAAAAACAACAGCTTTTAAAATGGATAAACTCAGGGTACTTAAAATTCGTTCTTTCTCGGTAATCAGAAGGTCAAAAGTATCATAGTAACCGAGGTTACAGTCATGAGTCCCTTCATCATGTATTCCAGTCAAAATCCTTGGAATTTTCTAGATATGGAAGTGATAATGATAAAAGAAGATGTCAAGTGTTTAAGTCCTTTTCATTTAAAATCGATACGGGTTACGCTTCTTCAATAAGAACACGCAACTCGACACGAGATAATATAATATACAAGTGTTACATTCGTTCTTAAACCGGAACATCGCAGATTTGAACCTATACTCCTGGCGACGGAGATCAACGCATCAAAATAGGACAACATGAAGGAGTCGAATGAAGCAGGTGTATGGAAATTAGAAGGTCGGAAGTGTCATAGTAACCAAGGTTACAGTCATGTGTCCCTTCATCACTTGTGGTCTGCCTAGAAAACATAGCTCACATTTTATAGGGCCATGCCAACGCTATAAAAATACATCGGCAAAATTTTATGAACAAAACAAGTCGATTTTAAAGCATCCATGAATTGTCAATCAAAATCTACCCTCCTCGATTATAGCAATGATGAAATTGACTATATTGTATGTATTTAAGTTTTTTTCACCCGCTGAGGCAGAGGACTAGACTCCTCCCAAGTGCAAAACTTATTTTGGTTCTTATACAGTTTATTGTGTCGGAGTATGAGTCGCTCCGTTTTTCGCTTAATTTCTCAGCTAATTTCTGGAAGGTTTTTGTAGAGCCTGGTGCTGCTCGTCCAGTACACGCAAAAATTAGGGCAACAAAGCTGCTGTGTTCCACTTCCACAATTCTTTGTAGTTTTTTCAGTGTTTTGACCTTCTCATGCTAATTTTAGGCCTCAAATAAAGTTTAAGCGCAGGATTTAGCATGGTATTCGAAAAAAAATTAGCGAGGTGTTGCCCAGAGTAATTTTGCCTTTGATGTCGAGTCGAGTGTCATCTTCAGTCGTGGTTGTTTTGTTGCGAAAGCTTTCGCCTTCCAACAATTGAAGTTTCATATTGCCTTTGATGTCGAGTCGAGTGTCATCTTCACTCGTGGCTGTTTTGTTGCGAAAGCTTTCGCCTTCCAACAATTTAAGTTTCGGTTCCAGTCGTGGTTGTTTTGCCTTTGATGTCGAGTCGAAAGTCATCTTGAGTTGTGGTTGTTTTGTTGCGAAAGCTTTCGCCTTCCAACAATTGAAGTTTCATTTTGCCTTTGATGTCGAGTCGAGTGTCATCTTCAGTCGTGGTTGTTTTGTTGCGAAAGCTTTCGCCTTCCAACAATTGAAGTTTCGGTTCTAAATCAACATGGGATTTAGCATGGGGTTTGAAAAAAAATTATCGAAAAGGTTTTGCCCTGAGTCATTTTGCCTTTGATGTCGAGTCGAATGTCATCTTCAGTCGTGGTTGTTTTGTTGCGAAAGCTTTCGCCTTCCAACAATTGAAGTTTCATATTGCCTTTGATGTCGAGTCGAGTGTCATCTTCACTCGTGGCTGTTTTGTTGCGAAAGCTTTCGCCTTCCAACAATTTAAGTTTCGGTTCCAGTCGTGGTTGTTTTGCCTTTGATGTCGAGTCGAAAGTCATCTTGAGTTGTGGTTGTTTTGTTGCGAAAGCTTTCGCCTTCCAACAATTGAAGTTTCATTTTGCCTTTGATGTCGAGTCGAGTGTCATCTTCAGTCGTGGTTGTTTTGTTGCGAAAGCTTTCGCCTTCCAACAATTGAAGTTTCGGTTCTAAATCAACATGGGATTTAGCATGGGGTTTGAAAAAAAATTATCGAAAAGGTTTTGCCCTGAGTCATTTTGCCTTTGATGTCGAGTCGAATGTCATCTTCAGTCGTGGTTGTTTTGTTGCGAAAGCTTTCGCCTTCCAACAATTGAAGTTTCATATTGCCTTTGATGTCGAGTCGAGTGTCATCTTCACTCGTGGCTGTTTTGTTGCGAAAGCTTTCGCCTTCCAACAATTGAAGTTTCGGTTCCAGTCGTGGTTGTTTTGCCTTTGATGTCGAGTCGAAAGTCATCTTGAGTTGTGGTTGTTTTGTTGCGAAAGCTTTCACCTTCCAACAATTGAAGTTTCATTTTGCCTTTGATGTCGAGTCGAGTGTCATCTTCAGTCGTGGTTGTTTTGTTGCGAAAGCTTTCGCCTTCCAACAATTGAAGTTTCGGTTCTAAATCAACATGGGATTTAGCATGGGGTTTGAAAAAAAATTATCGAAAAGGTTTTGCCCTGAGTCATTTTGCCTTTGATGTCGAGTCGAATGTCATCTTCAGTCGTGGTTGTTTTGTTGCGAAAGCTTTCGCCTTCCAACAATTGAAGTTTCATATTGCCTTTGATGTCGAGTCGAGTGTCATCTTCACTCGTGGCTGTTTTGTTGCGAAAGCTTTCGCCTTCCAACAATTTAAGTTTCGGTTCCAGTCGTGGTTGTTTTGCCTTTGATGTCGAGTCGAAAGTCATCTTGAGTTGTGGTTGTTTTGTTGCGAAAGCTTTCGCCTTCCAACAATTGAAGTTTCATTTTGCCTTTGATGTCGAGTCGAGTGTCATCTTCAGTCGTGGTTGTTTTGTTGCGAAAGCTTTCGCCTTCCAACAATTGAAGTTTCGGTTCTAAATCAACATGGGATTTAGCATGGGGTTTGAAAAAAAATTATCGAAAAGGTTTTGCCCTGAGTCATTTTGCCTTTGATGTCGAGTCGAATGTCATCTTCAGTCGTGGTTGTTTTGTTGCGAAAGCTTTCGCCTTCCAACAATTGAAGTTTCATATTGCCTTTGATGTCGAGTCGAGTGTCATCTTCACTCGTGGCTGTTTTGTTGCGAAAGCTTTCGCCTTCCAACAATTGAAGTTTCGGTTCCAGTCGTGGTTGTTTTGCCTTTGATGTCGAGTCGAAAGTCATCTTGAGTTGTGGTTGTTTTGTTGCGAAAGCTTTCGCCTTCCAACAATTGAAGTTTCATTTTGCCTTTGATGTCGAGTCGAGTGTCATCTTCAGTCGTGGTTGTTTTGTTGCGAAAGCTTTCGCCTTCCAACAATTGAAGTTTCGGTTCTAAATCAACATGGGATTTAGCATGGGGTTTGAAAAAAAATTATCGAAAAGGTTTTGCCCTGAGTCATTTTGCCTTTGATGTCGAGTCGAATGTCATCTTCAGTCGTGGTTGTTTTGTTGCGAAAGCTTTCGCCTTCCAACAATTGAAGTTTCGGTTCTAAATCAACATCATGGCATACTTCGTCCAAGAATGTCGCAAAGGTATCACGAATTTTAATATGTCTTCGTTGAGGCATCCACCTATGCGGTTGTGTAGAGGGTGGGTCAGTGTAAACGGTTGCCCACATAGGCATGTATGTGGAGTATTTGGAAGTTACCATCCATATCTCAGATTAAAACATTCATTCAACTCTGATTTGTTGAAGGAAAAATTGTAATTTTTCAGGGGGAGCACGTTAAACCAGCATAATGCTCCTTTCTATGATGCGAAATTTAGTGATAGCTTTTTTTTGATGAGCAATTTTGTATAAATGTAACGTTTTTTTGAAATTTTGATGTTTTGTCTTTTAGTTTTGATGTTTCTATTTATGAGATTTTGTTCCTTTTCAGCTATTTCTGGATCTCTGTTTTCTAACGTTTCACAAATGGCTCGTGACCAGATATAATTGTTGGAAAAGTCCGTGCTACATAAGAGCTCAAATCTTCCCATTGTTGGTGATAGTGCAAAAAACTTGTGATCAACATCGGTTATTTGGTTTTTACCAGTAATACTACGGAGTAGCTGCTGTCTTGCATTTTTTTTTCTCAATTTCATCCATTTTCTTAATTGCTTCCAGAGGTTAAAAAGCTTAATTTGTTTTGAATTCCCTTTGTGAAGCAGGATTACGCTTTTTGAGGTGACATTTTAGCTATTTCGGGAAGTTTTTTTGTTAGCGTAGTTGTATTTTCCCTTTTGCTTCCATATTTTTATCACACGCTGATTGAGTTAATATAACCGATCCAAGGACTCTAAAACCATTTACCATTGTATTGGCTTCGAATACCTTTATTGCGTTTTCTCGACGGTTTTTCTTTTATGAGTTGACACTAGGAAGGCTTCACATTTTAGCCGAAAGACTTTCCGTGCATATCTAGGTTGTCCAGTATTGTACTGAGAATGTTAAGATCATCTGCAGCTTTTCCGTCATCTGCGTACCAACATTGAGTTTTTGCAGGAGCTCGATCAGTGTATTATCCATTTACATACACAGCCATTGCGAGGGGATCACCTTGCGTTGTGCCTTCGGTTGATGTCAAAACCGTGTTGTTGACATTTGTTTTTATGGGATGTTTGTATGAGTTGACCAGCGCATGTTCTAGTGCCGGTCAAAGGAAGTCTACATTCTTAGAGCAAGATATCTACGAGCGAGTTGACAGCATTTTGTGCGTCAACAAGTAGTCCAAAAAGCGTAATATTCTGGTTTCTAGAATTCATTCCTTAAGCTGTGGATAGCAGTTTTGAATCCCAAGTAGTTTTTAATTTTTTTCCCGAAATTTGTAAGGTATAATTTTTTAAATTGGGCGATTCATTAGCCATATATTCGTCTAAGAACCTCGCCTATACCAATGGGCCCTACCACTGATTTTTTGCCGGAGGTATCAGACGACACGATTTGTACGCCCTTAGGTTTGTACAATGGGGAGAAATTTGTTTACTATTGTATAGGATAGCTTTGAAAATTGTTTTGCAATGCTCAATGAATATCCGGATGAGATGAAATAATATCCTTCTCCATTCAAACGCATCTAGACCTTGGCGTCCGCGCGTTTTTGGGGTTATTTTTTGAACTGTCTTGGCTCATAATTGTTCAAGTACAGATGGGTATTATGGCATTATGTCTTCACTTACTTCAGTAATATAATTATTTTTCGCTGCGTTGGTTCAGGGTTGTTTTGTTTTCAGGATACTATGGACTGTTT